ATATATATAATATATATATATATCCTATTCCTTGTCTCCTTGTGTCCCTTCTTACTGTCTCCTCCTGTCTCCTCCTGTCTCCTCTACACAACAAACTAAATAAACTAAATAAAATAAATAAAATAAATAAAATAAATAAAATAAATAAAATAAATAAAATAAATAAATAAATAAAATAAATAAAATAAATAAATAAATAAATAAATAAATAAATAAATAAATATGTTGTTGTATATGTATAGATATTATTATTAGATTGTCCCCTTGAGTATAAGAAAGGAGAGAGCCAGACAAGTATAGAGATAACAAGAGAGGAGGAATGGTGTATATTATTAGAGGAGGAGGAGAAGGAGATAAATAAATTAATAAATAATATAACTAAATATAATATAGATCTATTAATAACAGAGAAAGGTGTCTCTGATCTAGCTATACATTTCCTTAATAAGAAGGGTGTCTCCGTTATAAGGAGGATAAAAAAAACAGATAATAATCGTCTTAGTAGGGCAACAGGGGCAACAATTGTTAATAGACCTGAGGAAATTACACCACAAGATATAGGACATAATTGTAAATTATTCAAGATAGAAAAAATTGGTAGGTGTCTCCTTTTTTTTTTTCTTCTTTTTTTTCTTTTTTTTTTTGTCTCCTTTATTGTCTCCTTTTCTTTTTGTCTCCTTTATTGTCCCCTTTTTTTTTGTCTCCTTTATTGTCTCCTTATTTTTTTGTCTCCTTTTTATTGTCTCCTTTTTTTTTTGTCTCCTTTATTGTCTCCTTTTTTTTTGTCTCCTTTATTGTCACCTTTTTTTTTGTCTCCTTTTTATTGTCTCCTTTTTTTTTTGTCTCCTTTATTGTCTCCTTTTTTTTTTTGTCTCCTTTTTATTGTCTCCTTATAATACATCAATAAAAAGGTAATAAAAAGATATAACATATAATTGGTAAATATTTAATGTGGAGAACATAGGGAAGTGTCTCCTTTTTTTTTTGTCTCCTTTTTATTGTCTCCTTTTTTGTTTCCTTTTCTTCTTTATTTTTATTTGTCTCCTTTTTATTCTCTTTTTTTTGATGGGTTATAAGATATAATTGTAGGTAGAGGTGTCTCCTTTATGCATGCATATGCATGCACGCATATGCATGCATGCATGCATGTATACAGGTTAATGGGGCTTTTTTATGTGCATGCAGGAGATGAATATTATTCATTTTTCTTAGATTGTGAGGAAGGAAGCGCATGCACAATCTTATTAAGAGGAGGAAGCAAAGATGTACTTAATGAAGTTGAGCGGTAAATATAAATAAATAAATAAATTAATTAATTAATTAATTAATTAATTAATTAAATTAATTAATTAATTAATTTAATTAATTAATTAATTATTATATAATATATAAGATATATACCACAATAAATATCTCCTTTATTTTGTTTCTTCTTTCCTTTGTATGCATGCATACACACCTGCATGCATGCATATATTAATTAATTAATTAATTAATTAATTAATTAATTAATTAATTAATTAATTAATTTATTTATTTATTTATTTATGCGTTGCAGTAACCTACAAGATGCCTTATGTGTATCAAGGAATATACTATTAGAGGGGAAAGTTGTCCCTGGTGGAGGAGCAACAGAGATGGCACTTGCTGCTAGATTATTACATAAAGCTAAAAGTAAGATATTTTCATTTTGGGGCTGCATGCATGCATGCATGCATGCAGCCCCAAAATTTCATGCAAGGGCATGTATCTTTTTTTTATGTCTTTTCTTCCTGCATACATGCATGACATTAGTAACAAGAATAACAACAACAAGACATGCATATCTTTATATAATTAATTAATTAATTTATTTATTTATTTATTCTTTTTTTTTTGTCTTTATAGGTATAGATTCTGTACATCAATATGCCTATAGAGCAGTTGCTGCCTCTCTTGAGGTTATACCAAGAACATTAGCACAAAATTGCGGTGCTAATGTTGGTAAGTATATATGCATGCATGCATGCATGCGGATATGCATGCATGCATGCATGTAGATATGCATGCATGCATGCATGTGTGTGGGTTGGGTGAGGATGCATGCATGGGTATGCATGCATGCATGCATGCATGCATGCAGACATATAAATATATATATAATCTGCTACTGCCGCTGGTGCTGCTGCTACGGCTACTGCTGCTGCTGCTACGGCTACTGCTGCTGCTGCTGCTATGTCTGTTTGTGTATATATGCTGCAGTAAAAGTAATGACGGATCTGCGTGCTAGCCATAGCCGTATAGATTGTCCTATAGCTGCATGCATGGGTATAAATGGTAAAACAGGAGAAATAACAAACATGAGGGATCTAATGGTTTGGGACTGTCTTACTGTTAAACAACAAGTCTATAAAACTGCTATTGAAGCTGTAAGCATTCTATACATGCATGCATGCATGCATGCATGCATGCATGCATGCATGCATGCATGGGGCTGCATGCAGGTGCATGCATATGCGTGGATGGGGCTGCATGCAAATGCATGCAAATGCATATGTGCAAGTAGTTAGTTAGGTATATGCCTGTAGGATAGGAGTGTGAGGACTGGGTTGTTGTTGTTGCTCTTGCTGCTGCTGTTGCTGCTGCATCTGCTGCTGTTGCTGAATCTGTTGCTGTTGCATGCAGGCAGCAATGTTATTACGTATAGATGATGTATTATCTGGATTAAGGAAAGACACAAAGGGAGGAGAAGGAGGAGAAGGAGGAGCTGTTGAGGACATGGAGACATTTGGAGACTCTCGTGATGGTTGAGCTACTACTACTGCAGCAGCAGCAGCAGCAGCAGCAGCAACAGCAGCAGAAAAAGGTGCTGCTGCTGCTGTTGCTGCTGCTTATATAGAGGTATAAACAACCGATCAGCAGCAGCAGCAGCTGCTGCTGCTGCTGCAACAACAGCAATAGCTGATACAACACTAGCAGCAGCTGCTGCTGCTGCAGCATCAACAGCAGCCGCTGCAGCAGCAGGGAGATATTAACCCCACAGTAGCAGCAGCAGGCATAAGAACAACGGCAGCAAACAGCAGCAGCAGCTGCTGCTGCTGTTTGCTGCTGCTGCCGACGCCGCTCTTGCAACATTAGCAATTTGTGTTTTGTCTATACACTGTATACTAAAGGAGAGCAGCAGCAGCAAGCAGCAAGCTGCTGCTGCTGCAGCAGCAGCAGTATGCTGCAGCAGCAGCAGCATTTTCTTAGCTGTATCTGCAGCAACGCAAACTAACGGGCTTTGTTGCAGTGTCTGTCTCCTAATCATTTACCTGTCTCCTTTTAGTTATATAGCTGTCTCCTCCTATTTATTTAGCTGTCTCCTTTTATTTATTTATTTATTTATTTATTTATATTTATATTTATATTTATATTTATTAATTAATTAAAGAAAAAGATTATTATTGTTGTATTTAGGTGCATATACACCCCAATAATAACCCCATAGGGGAAGGAGCTAACGGGGGACAGTTACAGCCCCAAGCCCCAAGGATACATGCATGCATGCATGCAAATCTGCATACATGTATGCATGCATGCATGCATGCATGCATGCCGGACAAAGAGAAGGAAAAGAAGACAAACATGAAAAACAAGACCTCTATAGATTGAGGTGTATAGGCAGCAGCAGCTGCTGCTGCTGCTTACTTATTTGTTGCTACATTACCTGAATTGCTACTGCTGCACCTGCAGCAGCAGCAGCTGCTGCTGCTGCTGTTGCTGCTCCCTCTGCTGCAGCTGTTGCAGATAAGCGAAAGGGGAAGACACCTGCTGCCTTGCAAATCCCCACCGCCAGCAAAACCTTTTGCTGCTGCTGCTGCTGCACCTGCTACTGTTGTTGTTGCACCTGCTGCTGCTGCTGCTGTTGCTGCTGCTGCTGCTGCTGCTGCTGCATCAAGCGGATGAGGAGGAGGAGGGATTAGTCTTAAGTAGTGCAGCAATATCCTTAAGGGAGACATCTGAATAACAAGGAGAAGAAGGAGAAAAAAGAGACAGTGTCTCCGTTGCATAGTTGTATACAGCACCACTAAGAGGAGACAGGCACGAAGATAAAGGATGCTTATGTACACCATTCCTGCTGCTGCTGCTGCTGCTGCTGCTGCTGTTGCTGCTGTTGTTGTTGCTGCGACTCCAGTCTTCTTCGGGGTCCGTAGAAGAAGGATGGGGTAAATACTGCAATAAATAACACACACAGTGCATGCAGCACAGGACATGCTGCTGCTGCTGCTGCTGCCGCTGCTGCTCGTTGCTGCTTGTGTTGCTGCTGCTGCACGTTGCTGTTTGTGTTGCTGCTGCTGCTGCTGCTGCTGCTAAACCTTAGACCATCAGGCGTAAACCCTACTAAACCCTTAAAACCCTAAACCCTAAACCCTCAAAACACTAAACCCTAAACCCTAAACCCTAAATTCTTCCAAGGAATCCGAAGGAGACACCATCATGCCCGTATAACCCTAAACCCTAAACCCTAAACCCTAAATACTTACAAGGAACCCGAAGGAGACACCATCATGACCGTATAGATCAAGGAGGTCCCTTACTACCATCGTAAAGGGGAGACGTTGGAGACGATCCTCCTCTACTGTCTCCTTTTCTCCCTGTGTCTCCTTTTCTCCCTGTCTCTCCTTTTCTCCCTGTGTCTCCTTTTCTCCCTGTGTCTCCTTTTCTCCATCTGTCTCCTTTTCTCCATCTGTCTCCTTTTCTCCCTCTGTCTCCTTTTCTCCATCTGTCTCCTTATTTACCTCTGTCTCCTTACCTGTCTCCTCCTTATCTATCTCCTTGTTATCTGTCTCCTCCTTACCTGTCTCCTTTTCTGTCTCTTGTTTATCTACCTCTTGTTTATCTGTCTCTTTATGTGTCTCCTCTTTATCTTGTACTTCTTGCTGCTGCTGCTGCTGCTGCTGCTGCTGCTGCTGCTGCTGCTGCTGCTGCTGTCCCCTTTCCTCTGTAAGGAGACTAGGGTGTCTCCTTATTCTGCTAGTAGGACTACGATCGTCTCCTAAGGATTTATTAACAACATAAAGGCCTAATGCCTCCTCTGTTAGTCCCTCAGGTAGTATAATTGCTGCTGCTGGTATTTCTGCTGCTGCTGCTGCTGCTGCTGCTGGTGTTGGAGAGTCTCCTCCTCCTGCTGCTGCTGCTGAAGAGTCCCCTCCTGCTGCTGCTGTTGCTGCTGAAGAGTCTCCTCCTGCTGTTGCTGCTGAAGAGTCTCCTGCTGCTGCTGCTGCAGAGTCTCCTTCTGCTGCTGCTTCTGCTCCATTTATAGATTCTGCTTCTGCTGCAGTTGGAGAACTTGCTGCTGCTTCTGTTGCACCTGCTGCTACACCTGCTGCTGCTTCTGCTGCATTGTCTGCTGCACCTTCTGCATGCACACCAAGATCATTGTTGCCCTCCTTATGCTCTTCTTCTCCTGCTGCTGCTACTGCTGCAGCAGCAGCAGCAACTGCCTCACCGTCCTTATCCCCCTCAGCATTACTGATTGCTTGTGTCTCCTCTTGTTGTGTTACTGTCTCCTTTTCTCGTCCTTCTTTCTCCCTCTTTCCCTCTTCCTTCCCCCCTTCCTCCCCCTCTCCCTCTCCCTCTCCCTCTCCCTCTCCCTCTTCCTCTCTCTCTCCCTCTTCCTCTCTCTCTCCCTCTTCCTCTTGTTCTTCTTCGTCATCATAAGGAGGAGATTTAGTCCTTTTATGGACAATAAGGAGACGATTTTTTTTTAATATATTTATAATAGAAGAAATTAATTTATAAATAGTTAAATCAGGAGGAATATTTTGTATAATTAATCCCCCTATTGAGGGACCAGGCCATGGACAACTGTCTCCTTCTTTTCTATCTATACCTAGACCTAAATCTAATCGTAACTGTATATGCATGCAACCACAAATATATATACATACACAATAATAATAAATAATAAACTTAATTAACAATAAAACCTCTAAATCATATAAACCCTAAACCCTAGAAACCCTAGAAACCCTAGAAACCCTAGAAACCCTAGAAACCCTAGAAACCCTAAACCCTAAACCCTAGAAACACTAAACCCTAGAAAACATAAAAGCATAAATATACAAATATATACCATATATATTACAAACCCGAGGAAATAATATTTAAACAACAAAAGGGAAAATATATACTTTATATCCCAAACCCTAAACCCTAAACCCTAAACCCTAAACCCTAAATGAGTGTTTCTTACGGAGATGGTAGCGGATGCCATATTAAGAATAGGCTTTCTCTTAAAAAGGAGACAATGTTGATTAATATTTTTAATAAGTCTCTTATGCTGACTGCTGTCTCCTCTTATTGTTGCTGGTGCTGCTGCTCCTGCTGCTGCTGCTGCTGCTGCAGTTGCCTCAACAACAAAGTGTCCCCCTCTATACCCATTAAGTTGCTCAACTGCATCCCTCATAGGAAGAGAAGGAGACAGTCTCTTGAGTGTGGTCTCTGGTGTCTGTCTCTCTTGTGCCCAAGGGGAGACAGGTAATCTATTGAGTCTTGTTCCTGCTGCAGTTGCTGCATTTGCTGCAGTTGCTGCTGAATTAGAGGAAGAAGTATAAGAAGAAGAGGAGGAAGATAAACCAGCAGCAGGAGAAGCAGGTGCAGCAATAGATAAAGAAAAAAGAGACAATAATTTAGGCTGTCTCTCTATCTCCTTACGGCAATGAGGAAGAAGGAGACCCTGTATAAATTGAGCAACAGGTAACCGTCCCCTAGTAAAGGAGACAGTTTGTTGTCTCCTGGAGAAAGGAGACTTAAATACTTCTATAGGTAATAAGACTACTTGTGCAGCAAGTCTCTGTTGCAGCCATGCAACTACCTGTAGTGTATTCTTATTGTTGCTGCTGTTGCTGCTGATTAGGGCAGTACTGCTGCTGCTGCTGTTGTTGTTGTTGTTGTTGTGTCTGCTGCTGTTGTTCCTGCTGCTGCTGCTGCTGCTGCTTCTGCTGCTGCTTGCTGTTGTTGGTATATAGGCAGGAGACAGATGATGATAAGTGTCTCCTCTTATTAATGGATCATTAGCTGGATTATCTCCACCAAATACAAGCAACAATACATCCATGTGTCTCCTTTTGCTATGTTGTTGTCCCCTTAATAAATAATAGGCTAATGTCTCCACGAATTTATTATTTTTCTTAATAAAAGGAGACTTATAAAGGAGACCCTTTATTCCTTCCTTACTATGCTGCATTAGTCCCCCCCATGCTCCTCTTATTGTTGTACCTAGTATACCTAATCCAGTAACAACAGCAGCAGCAAGACCTAGCGAGGACAAGACACTACCTGCAATTATTCTTCCTTTATCATTAAAAGGAGAGGAGGAGGAAGAAGAAGAAGAAGAAGAAGGAGAAGAAGGAGAAGAAGGGGAAGAAAAAGAAGAAAATGATGATGAATAAGAAGAAGGAGACAAAAAGGAGACACTTTTTACTGTCTCCTTCTCTGGTGTCTCGTAGTACCGACCGTCTCCTGCAAAATATGCACCACTAGGGGACTGACCAAATACATTATCTACCCATTGCTCGCCACCACGAGCTAGGCCTGCTGCATACCTATAAAAAAAAAAAAAAAAAGGAGACACATAAAAGGAGACAGTTAAGGAGACACATTAAGGAGACACTTTATTTTAGCTAGCTGCATGCATCTGTTTACCTAGCTGCATGTCGTTAGCTAGCTATCATATTATAACTAGCAACACTTTATAGCTAACTGTCTAGCTAGCTGTCTAGCTAGCTATCTGTATTAAGCTAGCTGTATACCTAGCTAGCTAGCTAGGTAGCTAGCTAGCTAGATGGCTAGCTAGCTAGCTAGCTAGCTAGCTATAATAACTTACTTAAGATGTCCAGCAACATCAAAGGGCCCATTAGGTATTTTATCTGCAGGTACACCTAATCTAGCTAATCCTTCTCCCTTAGATAAGAGGAGAAGAGAAGAAAAAAAGAAGAAAAAAGAAGAAAGAAGGGCAGGTCCCTTCCATCTCTTATAAGGACGAAGTGTCTCCATGGAGACACGACGGAAAGAAGGAGACAAACTACGTAAGACTGTCTCTGTATACACATATATACACACATATACATATACATATACATATACACATATACATATATACATATACGTATATATGTATTTTTTATCTAAATCTATTTATTTATTTATTTATTTATTTATTTATTTATTTATTTATTTATTTATTTATTTATTTACTTCTTTAATTATTTACATATTTATAAGACAAAATGATACAAAAGGAGACAAAAGGAGACAGTAAAAGGAGACAAGAGGAGACAGGAGGAGGCAGGAGGAGACAGTAAAAGGAGACAGTAAAAGGGGACAGTAACAGGAGACAGTAGAAGGAGACAGGAGAACACAAAAGGAGGCAAAAGGAGACAAAAAGGAGACAAAAGGAGATAAAAGGAGACAAACGGAGACAAAAGGAGACAGGAGACAAAAGGAGACAGGAGGAGACAGGAGACAGGAGGAGAGAGGAGGAGAGAGGAGGAGACAGTAGACTAACCGAAGGGAACTTGTACAATGGCGGGTATTTGTGGGCATTTAATCCATACAACATCTCTGCTGGTTTGCTGCTGCTGCTGCTGCTGCTGCTGCTGTCTCTTTTGCTGCAGTTGTCTCTTAATTGTAGCCCAAGCAGGAGGTGTCTCTAATTCTGCTGCTGCTGCTGCAGCAGCAGCAAGATTATCTCCATCTTTGTCTCCAAGAACAATACCTGCTGCTGCTGCTGCTTCTTCTTCTTGCTGCTGCTGCTGCAGCAGCTGCTGCTGCAGGAAATACTCATCAATTATCCATTCCTCCCCTCTATTAGCAGCAGCAATGTGCTGCTGCGCAACAGAGCTAGGGGAGCTATACAGCATGCAGCCCCGTGCCTTATCTAGTTTGCTGCTGAGCTGCTGCTGCCATTCCTCCTTGGATAGATAACTGTCTCCGTACCCATTCTTAATAAGACTAAATAGTGTTACTGCCTCCCCTACCCTTGGGGGCCCCTTACCTTTATTTTGGGGGGCCCCCGAAGTATTAGTACCCTGTGGGGCCCCCCCACCATTATGGGGTTGGTGGTGGGGGGCCCCTCCCTGTCTCCTGTCTCCATTACCCTCCTCTCCTCTATTAACTCTTATATTACCATTAGGGGGACCACTACCACCTGCAGCAGCAGCAGCAACAGCAGCAGCTTTTGCTGCTGCTGTTGCACTTGCTGCATTAACACTAGCTGCTCTAGCGCTAGCTCTTGCACTAGCAGCAACAGCTGCTGCTGCTGCATTAGCAGCAGCATCAGCATCAGCAGCAGCAGCAGCAGCAGCAGCAGCAGGAGGCTCATCATCTTCTTCTGTCTCTACATGCAGGGTTAGATGAATAAGGAGACTGTCTCCTTTTAATGTTAATAAGGATGGATCTGCTGATGGATCCCATGAGGGGACATCTACTACTGAGGATAAGACGGAGACCTCCGCACGCCAAGGACCACGACGGTACTCTGCAGCAGCAGCAGCAGCAGCAGCAGCAGCAGCAGCAGCAGATGCAGCAGATGCAGAAGATGGAGGAGGAGATGGGGGAGGAGATAGAGGAGGAGATGCAGCAGCAGCAGGAGATATGTAACAACAGCAGATACAGCAGCAGATACAGCAACAGATACAGCAGCAGATACAGCAGCAGCAGCAACAGCAGCAACAGCAGCAGGAGCAGCAGGAGAAGGAGGAGAAGGAGGAGGAGACATACTAGTAATGAGTAGAGGCCATCCTTGGAATAATTGTAGAGGTTGTCCCTTTTCTATACAGACAAGTGTCCCCTTTAGTCCCTTAAGTATTGGTGTATGAGTACGTAAGGAATAAGGAGAAAATAAATTAGGGTTTAGGGGCTGGAGGGACAATAAGGAAGGTAAGGGTTTACCCCTATTTAATGCCTTATCTATATACTCTATAGAGGAAGCCAATGGATAAGGATCTAAGGACTCAACAGGACCAGAGTCCGATAGACGGACACGTAAAAACCAACGGCCTGCATGCAAAACCCTAAACCCTAAACCCTAAACCCTAAACCCTAAACCCTAAACCCTAAATTTTAAAACTTAAAAAAAATATACGGATCTAAAGACAAAAAAATAAAAAAGAAAGGAGACAAAAGGAGACAGAGGAAAGTCTATTATTATTATTATTATTATTATTATGAATAAATATTTTTTAGGGTTTAGGGTTTAGGGTTTAGGGTTTTTTAGGGTATTGGGTTTACCTGTAGTGCATGTCCAGCAATTATTTGCATGCAATTCAAGCCCCACATCTTTTTTTCTTTGTAGTACATAGGGATCCGATCCCCACAAAGAAAAAGTATTTTTTTTTATTATTTTTTTTGCCTTTAATTCGTCTAATTCTCCACGACTTAGACCTGCATATACACCGCAATAAAGGAGACACACTTATTATTATTTATATATACAAGGAAGAAAAGGAGACACTTTTATTATTCATATACAAGAAATAAAAGGAGACACTTTTATTATGTATACAAGAGAGAAAAGGAGACACTTTTATTATTTATATACAGGAAGGAAAAGGAGACACCATTATTTTATATATATTATATATATAGTGTATATACATATAATATAATGTATATGTATGTATATATACATTTCCTGTATATATAGTATATAATATATAAATATATAAAAGGAGACAAAAGGGAAAAATGGAAGGAAAAGAGAAAATAAAGCCCCGAAATTGCTGCATGCATTAATGCATGCAAAGATGCATGCATGCAGCAAGAGTAACAAGAGATAGATGCAAAGAAAAAGAGACAGATAAAAGGAGACAATTAAATAAAGAAGAAAGGAGACAGATAAATTAGACAAATAAATAAAAAGGAGACAAAAAAGGAGGCAAAAAAGGAGACAAAAAAGGAGACAAAAAAGGAGACAAAAAAGGAGACAGGAAGGAGACTCACCAAACATAACTACATTGCTTGGATTTACTTTAGGGACCTCAGCAGCAGCAGCATCAGCATCTTGCATGCCTAGCAGCAGCAGCAGCAGCAAGCATACTGTTGCTGCTGCTGCAACAATAGCAGCACGTGATGATGCTTTTCCTGCTGCTCCTGCTGCTCCTGCTGCCGTTGCTGCTGCTGCTGTACGCAGCCGTTTGTCCCTCCCATGGCTGGGCATGATGCGGAGACCCTCTTGGGGTGTATATACAGCTGCTTAGGGTAATAAAATAAGTCCCTGCTGCTGCTGCTGCTGTTGCTGCTGCTGCTGCTGCTGCTAATTAAGAAGGAGATAAACAAGAGGATAGATGCATTGTATATATTATATATTTATTTATTCTTTTTTCTTTTCTTTTCTTATTTATCTACGGTGTATATACACCGCAGAAGAAAACCCTAAAAAGAGCAGCAAAACCCTAAACCCTCATGCTGCTCTCTCTCGATACATACTAGGGATCGGATCCCCTTCTGCTGCTGCTGCTGCTGCTGCAGTTGTTGCTGCCGTTATTGTTGCTGCTGCTGCTTATGCATGCATGCATGCATATATTTTAATAAAATAAAACTACTTCTAGTGTATATACACCATAAGTATGCAAAAAAATATACAATAGGGGGGGCCCCCCCTGCCTATACACCCGGTGTATCTATAGATGGCCGGCGGTCAATCGATGGGGCCCCCAAGAGGGTACTCATTTATCTTCTTATTTATCTTCTTTTTTTTATACTATTTATATTTATATTTGTTATTATTCTTTTATTTTATTTATTCCTTTTAATACTCTTTTAGGCTATTAACGGTCCTGCTGCTGCTGCTGCTGCTGCTGCTGCTGCTGCTGCTCTCCAGCCTTCCAGGAAGCCACCCACCCATAACTCCAGCCATAAGTCTGCTGCTGGTGCTGCTGCTGTTGCTGCTGTAGTTGATTCTGCTGCTGTTAAATGTGCTGCTGCTGCTGCTAACTGCTTTGCTTCTGCTGCTAACACTGCTGCTGCTGCTGGTGCTGCTGCTAGAGCCTATGCTGGTGGACCTACCGATGCTTCTGTTGCTCTGTTGTTTGCTGCTGCTGCTGCTGCTGAATCTGCTGCTGCTACCTCTACTGTTACTTCCAGTTGGTACTTGCTGCTGCCGGTTTTATGTTATTCTCGCTGCTGCTGCTGCAGCAGCAGCAGCAGGTGTACGTGCGTAGATCGTAAGGTGTATTTACACCCAAAAGAAAGGAGATAGTATCATTGCCGTTATACCAGCAGCAGCAAGAGCAGTAGCAGCAGCAGCAAGAGCAGCAGCAGCAGCAGCAGCAGCAGCAAGAGGGCAATAAAAGTGTCTTATTGCGTTGATTAGTTTAAAAACACCTCAGGGAGGATAATTAATTGCATGCATGCAATTAATGCATGCATGCATTAATTGCATGCATTAATTACTGCATGCATGCATTAATTAATGCATGCATACATTAAGTGCATGCATGCATTAATTGCATGCATATAATTAATGCATTAATTGCATGCATTAATTGCATGCATTAATTAAATGCATGCATTAAAACAAATAGAAGAAAAGAATTGAGGTGTACGTACACCCCAATGCAGCCTACTAGGCGCACTTGTTCTTGTTGCTGTTGTTGCTGTTGTTGTTGTATAAGGAAGTGTTGTTGCTCTCCTCCTGTTGCTGGTGTTGCTGCTCTTGTTGCTGCTGTTCTTGCTGCTGCTGCTGCTGCTCTTGCTGCTGCTGCTGCTGCTGCTCTTGCTGCTGCTGCTGCTGCTGCTCTTGCTGCTGCTGCTGCTGCTGCTGCTGCTGCTTATTGCCTATCTAAAAAATATGAATTGTAACTAATAGCTTGCTATTACCTCATAAAGCGCATGCAAAAGCATGCATGCACACTTATGGGGCTGGATACACCATACAGCACCTGTATGCATGCAGCAGATGCATGCATGCAGCAGATGCATGCATGCATCTGCTGTTAGTTACCAATCATATATAATACTTTATAGGCACACCAAAGCCGCAACAGCAGCAACAGCAGCAGCAGCAGCAGCAGCAACGACTAAACTACCTACTAAAAGAAAGACACTCCTAGCATAATAAACAATAATAATAATAATAATTATTATTATTATTATTTATTATTATTATTATCTTTTTGTTCTTCTTTTTCTTCTTTTTTTTCTTCTTTACGGTGTATAAGGGGACAAACAAGACCTCTTTCTTCCCCATTAATAAGGGGGGCCCCCTTGTACATACACCGGAGAATTAGAGGGGACTAACAGTCCTTTCTTCCCCATCAATAAGGGGGCCCCCTCCTTGTATTTTACCTCTTTTCCCTGCATAAGGATTATTATTAGATATCCCTCCTCCTGGGTACCCATCAGGGGCCCCTCCATCATATTTATCCTCCCTTTTTTCCTGCTGCTGCTGCCCTTGCTGCTGCTGCTGCTGCTGCTGCTGCTGCGTATCCGTTGTATCTATATTAAGACGAGTTAAGAAATCTACTCCTCCCTCTTGTTGCATCTTTGCTCTTAATTTACCTACGCCCTCTAATGCTATTTTTACGTACTCCTCTGTACGACGAGCCTGTATATATACATACATAAATATATATAATATATTATATATGCTGCTGTTCTTGCTGCTGCTGATGGTATGGGTGGTGGTGGTGCTGCTGCTGTTTCTCTTGTGGGGGGGGGTGCTT